TATCGAGGAATATGTCACCAAGTAAAAACCAGTCCTTAAACGTAAGATTCAATTACCTATTTTTGTGTAACGCAGACTTCTAATAAAAATTTTCACCCTCAGGGTAAAAACATTTATTAACTGTCATCAATACACTTGCCATCTCTTTTCCTCCTTCCCACAGACAGCTTTGGTAATTGTTAGAATGCACACTTATTCACGGTTCACCCCACTCTACTGTGCTTGGTAGTTATGCAATTAAACATGGCCTGGAAAAACATGCTTCTTCGGGTGAAAGCATTTAAAATTCTCTAAATAAATCCCTCTTTTTATCTTGTATAGCATTTTAACATTTCAGAGGCTTTCACATCTGTTATATCATCATGGACCTTTGCTTTAAGATAGTCTATAAATTCTATAACAGAATTGTTACTCAATTCTGTAACATTGGAAATGGAGTACATCTGTGCAAGATCAAAGTGTTCTCCCTCAAGTTTTGTATGGATGACTTCAAATACCCTATCCTGACCCAAGAATGCCTTTGCTCATGCTGTTAGCCCTCCCAAAACAGCATTTTCACCCCAGCCCATGAATGGTTCAAAGTTCACACCTAAAGCCAGTTTTCCCTCTGAGCGTGTTGTACTTTGTAATATTCCAAGTTTACCACCTGCTCTGCCTCGTGTTACTTTGTGTACCTACCTCACCTTCCACATCGCCCTGTACACTCCTAAGAGGAGGAGTTTTCCCATCAGGGTACTTCAGTGCTTCACCTGTAATGTTAATTGAAGCTCTTGGTAAGGAATTATCCAGGGGGAGTGTTGTCAGGATCAAAGTGTCTCAGAGAGCATAGAAGCAACTTTTAAATCAGATGCTTTAAAGTACAACACATCTGGTTTTCTTTTCCATCTTACTTACATACTAGCTGTGTGACCTTAGGCAAGTTACTCAACCTCTCTGAGTCTGTTTCTTTATCTAAAAAGATGATAATAAAACATTCTTCACAGGTTCATTAGAAAGTATTAATATCAAGGAAACACTTATCAAGAGCCTGGTGTAGTATAGTACCTGGCACACAGTGGGTGTCAAGGTTAGTGACCTTTCTCCCCTTTGTCTCCTTTGTTATTTTAAGCATTCCTGACATTCCTGGCCCTTGTACTCATCCACCTTGTTCCTTATTCTCTAAACCAGGGGTGGGGAAACCTTTTCCTATTGGAAGGCCACATTAACTTAGCTATAATCGAATTAGGCCACATCCAAGAAATTTCAATTAGCTATATTTAAAAATGTACATTATTTTGCAAAAAATCTAACCACTATGTACTTCATAATTTCAAGAATGAAAACTATCTGTTAATTTTAAAGTGAAGTAACCTTTTAATAACTTTGTTGTGTCTGCTTTCTGTTGGAAAGCATTTGAATATTTGGTTGCAGCATGGTCCTCTACAGTTGCAGTTGGTCCTCTAGATGGGTATCAGTCATTTGTGACCTTAAGGACATCTTGATTTGGGTTAAGTAGGAGAAGGTAGATTCACAGCAATAAGTGATTGAAGAGCAAGAAAGCATTTGGGGGGCATGTTGCTGAAGGCGTGCTATATTCGACTGCATTCTTCCATATTTCAGTTGGATCTTTCTTAGCATCAAACAATGATTTTAAAATGTCATCTACTGCGAGCTCAATCAGTTCCATCTGTAGTTCTTTAGGTGCCTTGATAGCATCAAGTAAGTGAGGCTAAATGCTAATTTGAGTGTGAATTTCATGATTCTCAAAGTCAGTGAACCTTTCGTTGTATTCTCCAATTAATAGGTTCATAACAGCTATGTATTCTTCAAATGATTCACATATGTCATCCTTTTCATCAGTGACCTTTGCTGACTGGGGAAAATGTTCATCCAGAATTTCCTTTTGAAGAAGAAGTGTTTTGAAAAAAGATAGCCTTTTTGAAATGCTTGGATTTTTTTGCCACGTATCATGTATATAGACTTAGTTTTACCTTGCAAAGAAATATTCAAGTCGTCTTGATTTGCCATGACATCACACAGAAATGCTGCATTCTTACAGAAGTCTTCTTTCAATAATTCACATTGCTGATTCTGTTCTTCATAAAATTTAACTTTCTGTTCTCCCAGAGTTAAAATTTTGGCTGACGCCTGTCCCTGCAATGGCAAACGCACTTTGGAATGATACGGCAAATCCACACTGAATACCTTCAACTTTAGCATGCTATGAAACTGAGGATTCCATGTTGCATTTGCACAAATATAGTTAACAATACTTATAATTTGTTGCAAAGTGTCACTTAAAATACTAGCTTTAGCACAGATTTTGCTAATGTGAGATACAATGAAAAGAAACGAGAGCATCTGGATCTGTTCATACTTTTTTTATTTGTACAATAAACTCTTCATGTTTTCCTGACATAGAAGGTGTACCGTCTGTACATACGCTAATTAAACTTACCAAATTCAGTCCAACTTCACGATATTTATATTGAAAGTTGTTGATGATATCTGTTTCCCATGTTCTTTTCGCAAGAGTGCCCAAAGCAGGTAACTCTTCATAGCAGAGAAAATCTTCTGTCATGACCCAAATGAAGTATAAAACCTAAGCCGAGTCAGTAGTATCAGTTGATTCATCTAAAGCGATTGGCTAATATATATTTTCCTTTTCAAGTATTGCATGAAGTTGAGGGCTAATTCATGCTACCAATCAGTTATGGTTCTCCTTGAAAGAGGTAGTTGTTTGTACTTTGAAACGTAATTGGGTTCTAAGCATCCTACAACTTTGACAGTGCATTCTTTCACAATTTCTACATCACTGAGTGGTTTCTCTTTTTTCCCTAATATATAATCTACTTTATAAGTTGTTTCAGTGGCATTATTTCCAGGTATTATTGCTGCCTGAAAGAATTTCTTTGCTTTTGTTTCTCATCTCTTAATTTCTGCGATACAACTTTTCGTGCCTCTCCCTCTAATTGAAAATATTAGTGGTCCTTTTGAGTGTTATAATGCCGATGACCATTGGATTTCTCTAATGTCGATACTGCAGTATCACAAAGCAAGCAAATCATCTTATCTTTAGCAGAAACAAGTTAATATTGCAATTTCCAATCTTCATTTAAAAATCTGTTTTCTTCCTTCAGCTTTCTCCTGGTCTTCTTTGACACGATGGGCTGTTAAGCAGACAGAATTAAAAAATACTACCGAGCTGTGCAACTACTCACAAATTCCACTTCAAACAGAAACACAGGCACCGTTGTCAAAAGCTGATAACAGACTGGCACACTCGACCCCTGTAAACTCTTGCCAACCAGCCTCATGCAGTAGTGGCGCCAGTCTGGCGAGAGAAATTAGAACTAAATCATGAGCCTAGCAGCCATCAATTTAGCCCTTATGGCTCATTAATGTTCCAGTTGTCCTGATCAATCTGGGAGGATTATTTCACTGAAGCTTATTTTATTCTTTGGTATTTAAATATGTATATTTTAAAAATAAAATTAAATATAAAAGACGAACAAAAATGTATTATTAAATATAAAAGGATTTGCTCTGTAAAATTCAGATTCAGTCTAAAGGCCACATTTAAGGACCTAGAAGGCCACATGTGGCCCTAAGGCTCCAGGTTCTTCACCCCTTTTCTAAACCTAACCTTGTCACTCAGTCTTGATTTACTCATACGTGACTGTGAAAGAGCCAAGCTTTAAAGTCTAGACCCTGACATTTGGAGTCAGGGTCTATTTCTTAATAGATCTGGGATAATGGATGAGTCACTTGGGTTATTTGAAACTCAGTTTCCCCATCTCTTAAATTGGGGTAATAAAACTTAATATCGCACGTGTTGTTAGAGGATTAAATGAGCGAACGTAGGTAAAACACCTCAAACATTGCCAACACGTGGTAGTAAATGTTCAAGTATTGAATAAATCCAAACCACCATACAGATACTGCAAAAGGTTTTAAGCTGGTTTTAGGCAGAGAGATGAAGCCCAAACTTCTTAAGAAGAGTACCAGAAAATCTGCAGTTTCTATAAATGCCGATGTTGAATTGGAGAAGTTGGGTTAAGCTGGGGATATGACATTTTGTGTCACCAAAATTTAGAGGTTTGAAAACTACAGAGCATTTGCCCAAACCTAAAATTTTGATTCATTGCCACATTATAGTCAGTTTCTATATACATTCCCATCCAGCTGGCTGATGCCTTGGCTGAAAATAGTTCTAAGGGCCCAACCTATGCCCGGAGCATCCTTCTTCACAAGCTCGCCTCTGCCTCTCTGAAAATGGGCAGGCTGTTTTTTCCAAGACATTCACAGGGGACTGCATTGAAAGCAAATCCACCCTCTCTCTGGCCTAGCACCACTGTAGCAGAAGTTGGCAAACTTTTCCTATAAGGGGCCAGATAGTATAGTACAGAGTTTAGGTTTTGTGGGCCACGTATAGTCTCTGTAGCATATTTTTCTTTGTCGTTGTTATTTTAAGTAACGCTTTAAAAAATGTAAAAGCTATTCCTAGAGAAAAATAGGCCACGAGTCAGACTGGGCCCACAGACCATGGTGTGCGAACTCTGCTCTAGACCATAAAAGGACGGGAGGGATGAAGGGTGGCTTTGAAACCTTGATGAACTAATGCCTTCCTTTAGGGAAAAGGAAAAAGCACCTTCATCATCTTTTTATAGTATTAAAGACATTAAGTTAGTAACTTTGCTTCTGGGGTACAACTACATTGTCTAGTAGGTTTTTTAGTCATTTTACAGTGAGACCTCGTCACACTGCTGTTTTCCATTGGAAACTGATGAGGAACTTTGCAAAGCAGATGGAGCACAGACTGCAGGAATGAAAAGCACAGGAGAAAGAGCTGTGTGAAAGAAATATTTAATCATAACATGAAAAACTCATAGTGGCAACTTTTCCATTATGTTAAATTGTACTCATTTCTGTGTGTTCTGAGTGTACGATTTAAAATAGAGACCGGAGTGTTCCAGTCTTCGTGCCCATCTACCACGGGTTTGGGATTTTGTCTCCTGCAGGACTATGACTTGAGCCAACTCCAGCAGCCCGATACCGTGGAGCCTGATGCCATTAAGCCTGTAGGAATCCGACGACTGGATGAGAGACCCATCCACGCCGAGCCCCAGTATCCGGTCAGATCCGCAGCCCCACACCCTGGGGACATTGGGGACTTCATTAATGAGGTACAAAGAGATTCACTTTCTTTATAAGTTTTTTTTTTTTTTTTTTATCTTATGCCAGTGGTTAGATCACTGTAGGCCACAAATTGCTTGAAATACAACTGTGTAGTTCATTAAAACATACTTGTTTTTCTCGAGCTTATCTTTGTGTGAAAGCAAACGCGGCTTCATTAACAAAGAACAAATGTAGTTGTTTTGATCAATCAAAAAGAGATCTATCAATTAATATTCTGCATTTGTAAAATGACATTCATCATATGTTATCAGTATTAGTCACACTGTCATCTCTAAGGAGGACTTTTCCCTTAGATTACAAGTAATAAACAGACTAACAATATTATAGTGCATTTAATTTTGTTTATTAGCATGGATAAACATAACAGTAGTTCACTTTAATTTTCCTCAAACTGTACCCTTTGCATCTCGCAAATGGCGAGAATTCGGTGCCCAGCCAATGACTCCATCAAAAGAGATTAGTTGGAAGAGCTAAATTAAATATTATGTAAGTGATTTAAATACTTGTCTAGTTGAGGAGTTTTAAGAGCTTCTTTAAAGGGAAGCTAATTCTCTGTTGAATATAACAGATATGATTTCCACTGTCAAAATTATTATGGCATTCATTTCATTACTGACCAAGAGTTCTGCTACATTTAATACCTAAGTTTTAAAGTAAAATGATTTATGCTGCTTCTTTGGATCATGTCTATAGTTTTACTATAATTCTCCTTTTGAATTTATATTGTATTAATAAGTATAAGAGAAAGATACATTTTGATATTGATTGTGAATATATGGCAGGACTCTTATTCTCTGGCTGCAGCCTCAGTATCTCCAAGATTGGAATTGGTCCCAATACATTACAGAGTGGAATGTATCTATTGTATATGGCCTTCAGTCATGTGCTGATAAGACTCTCATTTCCTGGTATTCTTTGAAATAGTTGTGTAATATATAAACATAACCAAACTACTTTAGGTTTTTAGATGCACTTAGAGCTTATAGAAAAAGTTTTGGAACAGAATTGGAATATATATCTATCTCTACAACTGTCCATCACTGTCTATTCCAAAATTATATGCTGCTTTCTGAACACATATATATTCACTTCTGCTAAACTGGTAATAGGTTAATTTGTAGTACACATGGTGTAAAAGCAGATGGAAGCCAAAAACAACAGAATGCCAGTAAATCCCTTTATCTACAGAAATATATCCTGACTTTTCCAGCTCTTAATTTATGTATAGACCTGGGTAGGGAAACTTGTAGAAATTTATCCATATGGCTAGACCTTTTAGACTGTATACCAGTGCCTGGATGATTTTATTTTTGATTTAGTGTTTGTCATTATGAGAAATTGTTGGGTTATTCCTGTGGTTGTCAGGTTTGAAGATATAGTGAATCTTTTGACTGTAGGTATAGGAACTAAGCAGTGTTTATAAAGCTATTCAGAATCTGATTCCTGCCTTCTCCCCGCCCCTCAACCTCCCACATTCCCTTCCTGTGTTTTCCCAGTGAACTATGTGCAGACCTTCAAAAGCATCACACTTTTGAATATACTGTAACTTCTGCAAAGCCCGTACCCTCTTGACCACCTGCAGGACTCCCACTTGGCCTTCAGAATTCAGCTGAAACGTCGCCTTCTGTGTGCAGCCTTCCTTGATACCTCTGGGAAGGAGTAGCAAGATGCTTCCTCTGTCATAGGCCTCTCCAGCCGGGGTGTAACTGCCACTGTGTCTTTCTCCCACTCAGCATGCGAGTTCTTTCCAGGACAAGAACTATTTCTTGCTCATGTTTTTATAACCTGAACATCTAGTACGTTGCCTAGCTCTCAGATTTTGTTGTTGTTAGGCGTTCAAGTATTTACTGCAGTAGATGTGTAGGGTATGAAGCTATGGGCACTCCCCAGTTTACGTTTGGGATTCAGTGGAGACCAAGTCTGGAGCCTTTCACACTACTGGTGCTGATTGCATTTAGAAAATAAGGATATTGATTATTCGTTTCTTTTCTTTTTCTTTCTTTCTTTCTTTCTTTCTTTCTTTCTTTCTTTCTTTCTTTCTTTCTTTCTTTCTATTTTTGCCATAAGGTCTCACTCTGTCATTTGAGCTAGAATTCAGTGGCATCATCATAGCTCACTGCAGCCTTCAATGACTGGGCTCAAATGATCCTCCTGGCTCAGCCTCCTGAGTAGCTGGGACTAAAGGGATGCACCACCACACCCAGCTAATTTTTCTATTTTTTGCTAAGTCTGGTCTCAGACTCCTGGCCTCAAGCAGTCCTCTTGCCTCGGCTTCCCAAAGCGCTAGGATTATAGGCGTGAGCCACCTAGTCTGGCAGATATTGGTTATTCTAAGAGCATCTAGTTAATAAGGTTTATTTACCCAACCTTTCTTAGGCCACAATAGAAAGAGTTATAATAGGAATTTCCATTTAGAATTTTCTTTCTCTAAAACAGTGCTCAGTACGTAGTCAAAAAAGGGGCTTGAACCAAAGCAAACAGGTGTGATTACTTCTGTGAAAAACTTTGTTCCAAACAACTGACTGCAAATTAACTTCTAGAATACAATCAATTCATAATTTGAGGTTTGCCTCTCGTGTTAAAAATGGCTCATTTGGAAACTATCTTGAGCTTGGTTTAGGATCATCCATTCAGCAAATCACTATTGAATGTCTACTGTGTGTAACATAATTACACCAGTAATATGCGGATTAAAAAAATAAATTAGACATAGATTGTCTTTGTGTGTTTTCCCCACTTTGCTTTTCAGCACAATCTTTGTACAGTGCAAACGTGCCAGGATCTGAAGCCGTACTTTTCCAGGCATAGGAGGCTTGTTGTGTCTGGTTCTTAGTTGGCATTTCAGCTTCAGCTCAGACCCCTCCCCAGCCAGCATCTTGCAGGCTAGCAACAGAGAAATCTGCTTGTACTTTATAATGCCAGCTTGTACTTCTATGGTCCTGTCTATCCACATGCTGGTCTTCCTGCCTGGAATTCCCTTCCCCCTTTTTCTAGAAGTTGGTTCCTTCATTAAGTCTTGATTGACCCAGGAATGGTCAGGCATGCACAATATGGGCTAGGTGCCATCCAGTGGCATCCTGAGGGACATAGAACTCCCCTCTCTGAGCCCTGCCGTGGTCCTGGGAAGAGATGCTTATCCCTGTGTGGCAGTAGGAGGCACGTGGGCTTGGTGAATAAAGGAGTGGATGAAAGGATCTAATTTGGAAATCATTCCCCAAACAGCAACTAAATCCATGAATTTAAATATGATTTCGAGACAGAGAAACATGGAGGACAAAGGGGACCAAAAATTGTTACCTAGAAAGGTCTCTATAGTTGGAGAGAGGAAGAAAGTTTGAGAGAGTTCAACGTTTTACAGAAAACAACCAAAAGGAGAGTTTCAGGGATGTGATGATTATTTGTGTGGAAAAGTTCAGAAAGATGAAAATCGTCCAAAGGCATAAACTAGTAATAACTCTCCAAAGCACCGTATAGATTCTTCCATCCAAGATGCCCATTAAGACTTGTCCAATGTCCTTCATTAGCTGGACGGACAAAAATAAATACACGTCAAGTTTTGAAACAGTTGAACAGCACCTCGAGAGAATCATGCACATTTTATAAAAATACTTAAAATGTACAAAAATATATTTATCTGCAGGTCTTATTTGATTTAGCAGAGTACCAAATGTTCCAAAGGAAGAATAATGTAGTAGGGATTATAATTGGAGTGCTTTTATGGACATACGGAATAAGAAAACTCATGAGAACATTTTCTAGTTTGTTTATTTAAATAATGAACGAATGTTGCCTTAAATCTCAAAAATGATAACTGATTTTCAGTCTAGTAGGTAGAGAAAACCAAGTCACACATTTTTGAATTTCAACTTCAGAATTTCATTCTATTTTGAATTTTTAACCATGATCTTAAAAGGGTAAAACAGTTGAAACAAATTTATTTTAAACCTAGCCCAACAGTAGATATTAGCATACCTTCAATAACTTTACTAATCTTGTATATTTCTTTATATAAAGAAATATACTCTATATACTATTTATATAAAGAAGTATTTCATTACACTTAGAGGTATAAAAACCAGCATACTTCTGTTAAAAGACCAACTTTTGATTAATATTGTCTAAAACTTACGTAAGGTTCTTCTAGATTAATTTGCTTAAAACTACTAGCATTTACAATGTTTGCCTTTTTCTCCTATTAATTAAGTTTAATTCGTCCTCTTTTAAAATACCTCTTTCGACTCTTACAGGAGTTGGGCATTTATGTGAATTCAAATACATCTGCCTCACCTATAGCCCTGTTACCTTATACAAGGTCAAGTTCCTTGGATTTAACATTTTTTATTTACAGTTTTCTTATTTATAAAATGGGAGTAATAATAGAAACTCCTTTTAAGATTGCAGTGAGAATTAAATGAGATCATCTGTGTAAAGTGCTTGATATAGTGCCTGTCTCATAGTAAAATATCTTAATTATTAGTAGTATCATATTATTCTTACAAGTAAATTACCTTTTAAAACTATAAGACTTTGTATTGTACTTTTCTCTGATTATAAATAAAACAATTAAAATCCTCTCCTTCTAAAAAATTGCTTTAAGTAAATTGAAATTCCCAGAGAGCGGGGTAGTAGCATAAGCCTTGATAAGCCACAGAATTTTGCTGTAACATAAACATGGCATGCTTTTATATCCATATTATATATATATATATATATTTTTTTTTTTTTTGAGGCAGAGTCTCACTCTTGCGTGGGCTAGAATGCGGTGGCATCAGCCTAGCTCACAGCAACCTCAAACTCCTGGGCTCAAGTGATCCTCCTGCCTCAGCCTCCCGGGTAGCTGGGACTACAGGCATGCGCCACCATGCCCGGCTAATTTTTTCTATTTTTGGTAGAGTTGGAGTCTCGCTCTTGCTCAGGCTGGTTTCGAACTCCTGAGCTCAAGCAATCCTCCCACCTTGGCCTTCCAGAGTGCTAGGATTACAGAATT